CCCTCAGTAATAGTCAGGTAACACAAAAACCTTTTGTTTATTAATATGATTCTCTTGAGGTTAATTTTACTATATATTTTTTTATTGAAATCGAGGGGTATAGTGACAAAAAAAGAGGCCCACACCAAAAGTATTAAAACCAACATTTTCATGGATAAGGAAGCCTAACAAGGTAACCAAGAGATGAGAAACAAATTGGATGATAACTTATTATTTTTAGTGTATTTTATAGCTGATTTAATTCACGGGTCAAAACCGACCCGTTAACATAAAACAGGGGTAGGCAACTCCAGGCCTCGAGTGTCCTGCAGGTTTTAGATGTGTCCATGATCCATCACAGCTGATTTAAAGGGCTAAATGACTCCTCAGCATTTCTGAAGCTCTCCAGAGGCCTGGTAATGAACTAATCATTTGATTCAGGTGTGTTAACCCAGGGTGAGATCTAAAACCTGCAGGACACTGGCACTCGAGGCCTGGAGTTGCCTACCCCTGACATAAGAGATGATAACAGAAAGCTAACACAAGAGGAAGGTTAAAGGGACAGGAATGCAGAGACTTTGTCCAACTCCAGGCCTCAAGGGCCGGTGTCCTGCAGGTTTTAGATCTCACCTTGGGTCAACACACCTGAATCAGATGATAAGTTTGTTACCAGGCCTCTGGAGAACTTCAGGACATGTTGAGGAGCTAATTTAGCCATTTAAATCAGCTGTGTTGGTTCAAGGACACATCTAAAACCTGCAGGGATGCCGGCCCTCGAGGCCTGGAGTTGCCCACCCCTGCCCTACGACATAACAATGAATGGATAAAGTTTTACAAACTCACACACTATAAATAAAAATCAATTAAAAAAAATGAGCATTAAACATCAGTGTTTTAGTTTAGCTCTTGGCCTTTGTGGGGAGTTGTGCTCTCTCTGTGCTTTTGAGGGGGGGTCTGTTGCTCTGATGCACATATTTTGGGAGACTCACGTTGGGTTATGTCGTAGGTTTTCAAAGGGTTTTGCAGATAGGACACAGCCATGGTGGAGATTTCCTGCTAAACCATCAATCCTGAGTAACTGAGTTTAACATAATTATGTTTTTTGGACTGACTGCATTTTAAACATGGCGTCCAAATATCAGTTGTATTGTGTCCCTGGGGAGAAACTGTTAGAGGGGGATTAAACATTCACACCAAACCATTTTCTCTGTGTGCTCTTATTTTTTTAAATTCTTTGAACCTTTTGCTCTTTGACTACTCTTCTGATGGCTCTGTCATTCCCTCAGGACTTGGCTGACTCGACTAGTCCACGAGCTTTACACTGAAGGCCCAGAGCACCAAGATTCATGTTTTTACAAACAGAAAAAAGTTAAAATAACAGCAAAAACAATGAGCCACGCCTTCTTGCTGTTCTATTTACAGTGAAGGCAGGTTTAGAAAGTCGGTTCCAAGCTTTTGAAATGTGGATAAACTTAGTGAAAGTCAGAAAAACATCAAAATAAGAGAGAAATGTACAGTATCTCCAAAAGTGGCACATATACAAGCCCCTCTGTCTGTCTGCCCTCACTTACCATCACCTTCTCTGTCTGGGTAATGAAAGCCAGATGTATGTGCACGAGGCCCTCGTTCACCCTCCTCCCACTCTCTAACTGTGCCTCTGTTTCTCTTTCTGGGTTTCCTCTGCAGGCTCTATGCCTCTCTGTCCCACCACCAACTACGCAGGAAATACTCTCGGTTCTTGGCCAGAAGGGAGGGCTCTGTTTCTAACTACTACCAGATGGAGGAATGAAGGAATGGAGAAAAAGCTATAAACGGACTGTAGCATAGCACAAAAGAAAAAAGAAAAATCGACTGATTTCTGACTCAGTGTTAAATATTGTCAAATGTGGCTGCAAGTTTTTCTTTTGCTGCTGTGTTGACATGTTTTCTCCTCTGCACCCCTCCTCTCCCCTTCAGTTAACTGAAACAGCTAAATCCTAAAGTCATAAAACAGCCCAGCCCATAGAAATCCCCCTTTGGTCACACACACACACACACACACACAAATATCAGTTCAATTCTATTTTATTTATATAGCAGCCACCTAAAGGCACTTTGTTTGGTAAGGTAAAGAACATAAAATAATAACCACACCTTTTTACTTTATTCCTGTCTTGATCACAAAATTGCTTTGAAGAGAGCCGCTGACCTTTGTTTGGTTCATAGGCACCAAAGTTATTTGGCTAAGTTTGGGAAAAGAGCACGGTTTGATTTAACGTTAGAAAGCTCAGTTTTCCAGGGCAGCTGGGACTGATTGTCTGAGCAATCTCCCCGTTTGAGTAGCCTGCTGGGACTGGAGACAGTGCTCAGTGCTGTGGCGTTGTAAACATTGTGAATAAATGGACACTCACCCTGCAAAGCTGCCTGTGTGTGTGCTGAGTCATTGTCACAATAAAAGCATTTATTATTTCATTTTTATGGTGATTGATTTCAAATAATCTGCTATTTTTAAATCCAACTTATTGTAAAGCTGACATTACACACTTGAAAGAGAATATTAAGCCTTAGATATCAGAGACATCAGAGTCACACGGTGGTTGAAGATAGCAACAAAACTTAATGTTAAATATTATTGTAAATGTGTAAAATGATAAACAGGCAATAAAGACAGAGTCACTGGTCTACTATTAGTCTGCCTCTGTGACTGAACTGGGGTCAAGTTATTTGCCAAATACATTTAAATACGATTGGCAAAGACTTTATTTAAATGCTGCAGTCGTTCTAATAGCCTGTGCTCATCTACATACCAATAAATGAATGACTTACTTTCATACGACATACTAAACAATGCAAATATATTAAATAAAACAAATTAATATTAATGTACTTAAGCTTTGCTCACACGTGCTTTTGATTTACACATAGCACCATTTTGGGTGAGTAAAAGTAGGCACATTCAGACAGCAAGCTCACCAAAACCTTTGAATCTAGTGAAACCTTGTTGGTATGTTGTGCCTTAAGATGAGTAGTGTTGTGAATTTCACACTACAGACACACAGCCTGTAGTGTTGTGATTTATACAACAACATTAGGCCCCTTATCGTTTTCATTTGTGTCAGGGTAATTCAAATGAAGATATACATGGTTTGAAATATGATATACATGTGCATGCGTGACAGTGTTTCAGGACTTATCTGAACAAAGACAAGGACCTTTTTAGCGTGAGTCATCTATTTAAGACTTCTACTATCATGGAAAATGTCATTTATACATCTTACTTTTGAAACAGAGATTGGAGATGCATAGATGCGTAGAGTGACAGCCATTTCCTTCATTGCTTGTTGAGACTAAAACCCATTCATGTCCAAAATCAGTTCATTAGCATTTCCATGTAATATGTCATCACATAAACTCAAGGACTGCATCTCATACTACTTCACTTTGGCATTCGTTTCACTTCATACAGTGGTCATTACTTTCAGTGAACCTGTACGGAAGCGCAAGATCTTCTTTTTAAGTGCATGTGAGGCCTTTATCTTGACAAAAGCCTTAGGCTGCAGAGGTGCTCCAGATGGAGCAAGTGTTGACGGGAGGGAAAGTCTTGGGGGTAATTGCTGTGGCCAAACCAGACCCCCACTTTCATCTGAATCACTGGACAATGAGCTGGAATCTGGAGAGTCAGCCTCACTCATGCTCGACTCAGACTCTACCTGACCTGCGTGAGAATAATCATCGGTGGCCTGACACAGTTGCGTTTGGTCCCTTTCCAACTGAAACTCCATGTGCTGATGATGGTGGAAATGGTGCGAGGTTGTGGGGTAAGCATATGATGCGTGTGGAGGACGGGGTTTACGTGTGCGCCTAAGACAGCAGTTTTGGTTGCTTTGCACAGGTATTGTCACAGCTGGCTGATCAGCTTCATCTTGGCTGAGCTCCAAAGTGGACAGCGAGCGCCTGTAGCTACCGCTACTTTGTTGCTGCTTTTTGCTTCTGGGTTGATTACCGCGGCTTCCCCTTCCAGCGTTCCCACTTCCACTACCATCCCTCTCGACTGTATTAAACTTGCGCTCTGGGAACCTTTGTAAGCTATTCTCTGACTGAGACCTGCACGCCTTCTTCCCTGGCTTTCTGCTGGCACCACTTCTGTCTTCATTTGATCGACATTTCTTTGGGCCTCCTCTGTACCTTGGGGGTTGGATATGAAAAGCCGTGGGTTGCTGCTCCTGATGATAGAGTCTTTCTGGAGAATATGCACATCGGTTGGATTTGGACACCCCAGGACCTTTGTGGTGGTTGGTGTGGTGATGTGCATAAGCTCGGTTGGAGGTCCGACAAGGCTGACCTGGAATATACTCGGCACTGACCAGATGATCTTCGGGAGAAGATGGTTGAGAAGACTTTGCTGCTGCTGCTGGAGGCGACTGGTACTTGGGGAGACGTTGGGATAAGTCCGGCTCAGTAGTGCTGGAGTCTGGTTGGACATCTTTACCATGTGGATAGTCAAGCAGCGTCATGGAGGCTTGCCTGGGTTTGGTATAAAGCCCCTTTTGCTGAAGATGATATGGGAGTGGGGGATCTTCAGTAGGCCCTATCCTAAGGTACTGCTCCTGATCTAGGTTATGGCCAGCCTCTGAAGCAATTCCTTCTGACCACTGGGAGGGTGCAATGATCTCTTGAGCCAACTCCTGTTTTGGTAAATGTTGCTCATCCTTTTGGCACAAACTACTCTGCCTTACCACATTAACAACTCGGGCATCATGTGCCAGGCTCGTACGAGGCTTTGAGGGTCGTGTGGGTAGAGTTCGTCGTTGAATCACTCCAAATATGTAAGTCTCAACCTTTTGGGTTTGTTGATAATCATACAGACTGGGGTCAACTTCTTTCAATTTCCCTAAAGCACCGGTAACGATGGCATGTCTTGTCAGGGCGGGCATATATGTTTTTTTTGTCTCTTTCTCACCACTCCCCTCGGGGGCTGAGAGGGAACATGAGGTCACGGGGTAGCAATTCATTTCAGAAGATCCATTTTCCTTGGCTACACGGGCTTTCCCTAACAAAAGTAAAAAGCAGAGGCAATACATATGATCATTCTGATGTCAGTTCTCACTTTAATGAACATTTACCTGTAATTATGAATCTTGACCATTGCAGATAAAAATGAAAAACTATGGACCAGTGTGGCACTTATAATTGAAACCACATTTATGTGGTACAGATACACAAACAATACAGTAGTTTTCACTCAATAATCTATTAACCTTATTAGAGGAATAATATGCCTAGACTCTTCCATGTGCTTAAACTGCAAGGATTTAAAATAAAACGTCAGTGTGATAACCATTAAACATGTCTACACCAATGTTTTGTCTTTATTTTACAGCCATAAGCTAAATTTTCAGGTGTCAAGAAAGGCTAGGGTTAGACCTAGGATATGACACCTTTTATGTGCAGTAACTTGAAAAAGGCAACTTTCCACAAGAGTGGAATTATTAGAAAACCGATAAAACATTGGCTACTGTCTGTCGCTCATTGTTATAGATGTGAAACTGAACTGCTTTTGAAAATGTGATAAAATTACAGTTCTAAGAAAAGTTGGCATGTATGTCAAATGTAAATTAAAAACAGAATCTTATAAATCTATATTTTATTCATAATAGAAAATAGAAAAGAGGTCATTTTGAAGTTGATGGCAGCAACACTCGACAAATGGGACAGGGCTGTGTTCTCCTTTTAACAACAGTCCATCAGTTTCTAGGAACAAATTTCTTCATCACTTTGGGGTTAAACTTGTCTGAAAGGGCTCACAAATGACATGATCCACAAACACAAGCTAAGATTTACAAATGTTTGCAATGAGTCATTTTGAATACTTGCAAACTTGTGCTTCAGTCCGACGACAAATACAAAACAGTCTGAATGTATGTAAATCGATTTTACAAATCCATAAATAAAAACCTGAACAACTAGAGCTGTTCAACTTCACAAGCCTGGTCATTTTTTTCAAAATGCTTCCTGTGGATAGCTCGTCCTTCCTCCATCATACACACCAACAAATATATTTATCAATTATAGATCAATGCAGAGGTTCCCAAAGTGTGAGACCCATTAATCAGTGCAGTGTATTTCTGATACCTCCACTACAATATCTGTTTTTGGCTTAGTTGAAGAGGATGGTGTGAGATTATAGCATATTCTTAGATTGCTATTGATATTACTGATTATGCTTTTGCACACTAGTAATTCTCTTCGCATCTATTTTCCAGTCATGGTTGTGAGTCTACTAGTCTCATACATATAACAAACAAGACCTGTAAAATCATTCTTTCTTCGTTAAAAGTAAACTGTGGTACTTACACAGATTAGGCCTAATGACCAGCTGCCAATTATGTTGTGTTGGTCCCTGTGTTGCTGCCAAAACAGCAAACATCTGTGATGCACTGTGATTCTGACACCTTTCTATCAGAACCAGCATGAACTTCTTTCTGCAATGTGAGCTACTGTACGTTGTGTGTTGGATCAAAGCACACGGCCCAGCCATTGCTCCCCACATGCATCAATGAGCCTTGGCTGTCGCTGTCACTGGATCACCACTATTACTGTTACTGAGGTGTCAGTACTGGTAAACAGTCCCACAAGAGCTGCAGTTTTGGAGATGCTCATTGGAAAAAACTGACCTTTAAGTGTTTGAAGGGCGGAGCCCAAAGGAAGCGGGGTACTAATGTGATTGGTCACTTGATGGACCAGTGTACCTCAGTTTGTGGCAGAAACATTGAGCTCTGTTAAAAACCATATTTATTTACATTTTGGAAAATGAAGTTAGCCAAATTAACTGTCAGCACGTATTGTTTTCTGTGTAGCAGTGGAAACGCTGACAGCTGTTACTGGATTACTTTAATGCTAAACTAGAGGTTTCTCTTCGTTTGGGCGCTGCTGTCCGAAAAGTCTAAATTCAGTTGATTGGTGCGTGCAGGATTCAAGAGCAGGGAGTTACTGCAGGAGTGTGCATCTGTTGCAGTGTTCACAAAGCAGACACTGTCGCATGCAACATGGCTTATTTGCACGCGTAGCTGTTGAGCTCTACACTTGTTGAATTAGCACACTGTGCTGTTGATTTCTTTCCCGTGTGGAACTTTTGACATTAATAGAATTTCATGCTCCCATGATAGATCTCAATTACTCACAAATGCATGCTTTTGTGAGTAATCCACACACAAATACAAAGTAATTCAAACACATGGAAAAATGTAGCCATAATTCCATACTGGAACATAAGCCATACTGGCAACAGCCCCAGTTTGAATTTGACCTGTGACCCTTTGCTGCATGTCTTTCCCCCTCCCTCTCTTTTCTATCTATTCTTCACTCCTAAACTGTCAATAAATGAAAATAAATAAATATGATTTTAAAACTTACACAAATGATTGTATTTTTCAAACTTAGTTTCCAGTTCTGGATCATATAATAGAGATTTGTGAGCCTTTCAATGTAATAATGTATACTTTATTGATCCCCTTTATTGGGGAAATTCCCCTCTGCATATAACTCATTCACTCAGTGAAGCAGTGGGCAGCCATTGGGCACCCGGGGAGCAGTGTGTAGGGACGGTACCTTGCTCAGGGGTACCTCAGGGTAGCTGTTCAGTGGATTGAACCATGGGGCCACCACTCTACCTACTGAGCTATCCCTGCCTTGAATTTTACCTGAAATGAGTTGGCTGGCATCCAGATTAGTGGAATCTGATGATTTGACTTCACAGTCCACCTTCAGCTCTGCCACCTGCTCTTCTAAAGATGTGCTTAAACCCCAGGGAGTAAACTGCAGACTGCTCTGTAATACACACAGAAAGAAATTCAAATTGTCAAAAAAATCATCAAAGACTGAACATTCACTCCAATGCTGTGTGCTTCTATTTGTGTTCACATTTTATGTCACATTTTCTTCCTATACAGAGGCTACTCTTTGCCGTGGTGTATATTAAATGTAACAGTGGCTTTGGCATTCATGGCTTTGGGCTGCCACAGCAGCTCTACATGTTTACTTTGCTAGTTTTACGCTGAACACCCTTCTTGATGCAACCCCCAAGCAATGTTCCCTCTAATGTTTCATGTGTCTGAGTGAACACACAAACTCCCTGAGC